CTTCTAGAAGATGAGTTTTTGGACTTCTGATAGACATCTATGCAATTGTTCATAGCAATTAAAAGCTTTATAAATAATTCTTATTTAGTCCGGCGTGTTTCAATTTTATTTCAAATGTGTTTAGAAAAATCATTTTGCTTAGACTTGATTCTGTCCTATTTTTAGAACTTTAGAACGCTGTTTTTTTTTTTTAAGTTTTCCATTTTTTTCTCCTAGTGACAAAATTAAAAAAAAAAACTTTTATTCTCTTTTCTGTTTCATTTTTAAAAAAAATAAAGCATCCAAATACTCTCTATAAACATTTTCGCATTTATTTCCATTTTTGTGAAAATCTGATTTCCATTTTTCATCTTTCCTTTTCTGGGCAAAGTATTGTCTCGTATATCTCTATAATATTATTTGAGAAGTCAGTTTCTTAGGTGTCGCGTTCACGTTAACTGTTATGCTGGTTGATTACTATGATACCCCTAATGTATTAAAATATATTTAAATATTATTATTTCCTTTTTAAAATCTTCCAAATAACAATATAAAATAAAAAGGAAATATATATAAAATTTAAAAAACTATTTAAAAACGAAAAATAAGTATATATATAATATAGTTTCATAAAAAAGGAAAGTTTACAAAATAATAATATTTTACTTAAATATATTTTTAAATAACATAAATTATACTTTTTAAGTAATAAAATACTTTATATCTATATCTTCTTAGATGAAAACAAATATTTGTATATAATGTGTTTTCATAAAAAAATTTCATACAAATAATCTTGATATTAGAAAAAGAAATATTTTTTCTTTAAAAAAAAATAATTTAAACAATAAAATATATATTTTCATAGTAATTATTTTTTATATATCTATCTATTTTATTAGCTGGTTACATAAAATAATTAAGTAACATAAACTGATATATGTTTAATTGAGAAAAAAAATATAATTAGTATTATGGAAATATTCTTTTTAGTATATTTATTTGATTATAATATCTTACAATTACAGAACAAATATAAATTATATTTTACTTATATATATAATTTCTAAATAACAATCACATTTTTACTGCATATTTTAAGAGATGTTAAAAACAAAACTAAAAAGAAATTTAATAATAAACATCTTTTGATCAAATAACTACAATTCTCTTAAAATATCATAACACTATAACTTAACGAGGTAGATATATTATATTTTAATATTTAAAATTATCTGTTTTCTTGATAACTCTTTTGATGTTTAATTTTCTGTTTTTATGTTTGTGGAATTTAATATAACCATAATCAAAATACTTAAACAAATCAGAATTCCTTATTTTAAAATTATTTACAACAAATTTCAGTTTACCATCCAATCAATCTAAGGCATAAATTATTTAGACTTTATATTGATATTTATTCATAAGCTTCCAAAAATTTATTATTACTTATGTATGTAATTTAGAATCAGACACTTTACTTTTTATTTTTTTCATTCTAAGCACAAAAATTTTTAAAATACATAATATTACTAAGATATACTTATATTTCTAAGATAACAACCAACATAAATGTAAATAAAACAATTAATCAAAAATTAGAATAAAAAAGTTATAGTTGATTTCAGAGAAATAGATAAATTCCAATATATATATATATATATATATTGAAATGATAAAACTGACTAAATATAATATATCTAAAATATATATAACTAAAACAATATAATATTCTTAATATAAATTATACATACAAATTATAAATTAACATAAAATTTAAAGTAAGTATCAATCAACTATTATAATATATTTATTTTGTAAATATTTATGTCTGTGCATGAGCACGGGAGAATCACCTAGTTAAAATGTATTACAAGATCCGATTGCATTGCATCGGAAAACCATTTAGGCAGGTACAATCTTGAAGAAACAAAGTTTATATTATGCGAATACTTTGCTAGCAAATGAGCAACCCTATTGCAGGTTCTTCTAGTAATGTAAAGGTACATTAAGGAAACTTATTTTTCCGTTAGGAATTTTCATCGCAAATATACCTGTATATCCATTTTAATCTTAATTTTCTTTTCTCTCTATATTAACTTCTATCTCTATAATATTATTTTAGAAGTCACTTTCTTAGGTGTCGCGCTCACGTTAACTCTCACGCTGGTTGATTACTATGATACCCCTAATGAATTAAAAATATATTTAAATATTATTATTTTTCTTTTTAAAATCTTCCAAATAACAATATAAAACAAAAAGGAAATATTTCTAAAATTTACAAAACTATTTAAAAACGAAAATAAGTATCTATATAACATGGTTTCATAAAAAAGGAAAGTTTACAAAATAGTAATAATTAACTTAAATATATTTTTAAATAACATAAATTATATTTTTTAAGTAATTATACTTTATATCTATATCTTCTTAGATGAAAAAAATATTTGTATATAATGTGTTTTCATAAAAAAAAATTCATACAAATAATCTTGATATTAGAAAAAGAAAATTTTTTTCTTTAAAAAAATAGTTTAAACAATAAAATATACATTTTCAAAGTAATTAGTTTTTGTATATATCTATCTATTTTATTAGATGATTACATAAAATAATTAAGTAACATAAACTGATATATGTTTAATTGACAAAAAAAATTATAATTAGTATATTTATTTGATTATAATATCTTACCGTTACAACAAAAAATATAAATTATATTTTACTTATATAATATAATTACTCAAAAACAATCACATTTTTACTGCATATTTTAAGAGATATTAAAAACAAAACTAAAAATAAATTTAATGGTAAACATCTTTTGATCAGATAACTACAATTCTTTTAAAATATCACAACACTATATAATTGAACGAGGTAGATATATTATATTTTAATAGTTAAAAATTATATGTTTTCTTAATAACTCTTTTGATGTTTAATTTTCTGTTTTTATGTTTATGGAATTTAATATAACCATAATCAAAATACTTAAGAAAATTATAATTCTTTATTTTAAAAATTATTTAAAATAAATTTCAGTTTACCATCCAATCAATCTAAGGCATAAATTATTTAAAATTTCTAAAATATTTAATTATTGTAAATATTGATATGTTTTCATAAGATTCTGAAAATTTAATATTACTTATGTATGTAATTTAGAATCAGACACTTTAGTTTTTATTTTTTTCGTTCTAAGCACAAAAAATATTAAAATACATAATCTTACTAAGATATACTTATATTTCTAAGATAACAACCAACATAAATGTAAATAAAACAATTAATCAAAAATTTAAGATATTTAGAATAAAAAAGATTATAGTTGAATTCAGAGAAATAGATAGAATCCAATATATATATATATATATATATATATATATATATATATATATATATATANAAAAATATTAAAATACATAATCTTACTAAGATATACTTATATTTCTAAGATAACAACCAACATAAATGTAAATAAAACAATTAATCAAAAATTTAAGATATTTAGAATAAAAAAGATTATAGTTGAATTCAGAGAAATAGATAGAATCCAATATATATATATATATATATATATATATATATATATATATATATATATATATATATATATATATATATATCCAAATGATAAACTAACTAAATATAATATATCTAAAATTATATATAACTAAAATAATATAATATTATTAATATAATTATACAGAAAAATTATAAATTAATATAAAAGTTAAAGTAAATATCAATTAACTATTATAATATATTATAAATATTTATGCCTGTGCATGAGCACGGGAAAATCACCTAGTTTTCTAACTAACTACGTGACTATATTCATTCAATTAATAAAATTCTAAATTTTGCCGCATGATAGCTAGAGTGTGAGTAAGAAAAGAAGTAGAAACTACGTGATAGCTAGAGTGTGACCATATTAATGTCGATCCATTATGCTCGCGATGCTGTTCTGAAGAAGAGACCAAAGACCATCTCTTTTTCGGTTGTCCTTTTGCTCATGTGATATGGCGTTTAACTGAACTACCTTGTACTCTCCTACAGCGAGGAGATGTTCAGTTTGAAGATAAAATAAGATATCTCCTACGTATTATGGCGGATAAAAGTTTATCAAGATCAACCCGATTACTACCTATATGGTCTTTATGGCGATTATGGAAATGCAGGAACGACCTATTATACTCAGCAAAGGACAATACTATTGAAAAATGTTTTAGTCTTATCAATGCTGATATTGTAGAGTGGATTAGTATCGTCAGGCTGGACCCTATATCTTCTTCACCAACTGGGATTTCTACGCGACAAACTTCTAAATGGAAACCACCCCCAGTGGGATGGGTTAAGTGCAATTATGATGCATCACTTACACAATATTCCACCTCTGGGATGGGTTGGGTCATTCGGAATTCTCATGGTATCTTATTACACTGCGGTATGGGTAAATTTGAAGGAAGGCATACGGTGGAAGAAGCGGAGGCATCAGCCTTAATATGGTCCATGCAATGTGCTTGGTCTTTAGGTTATAGAAGAGTTATTTTTGAAGGTGATAATCTCAATTTATGTCAACAATTATTGAGGAATTCACAGGCCCCAATACTACGACGATTCCATATGACAATAGATACCTGAAACAAATTTCAACCATACGTGCCGTTGCTGATAAATTAGCTAAAACAATAATCTCATGTACTCAAGATTGGAAATTATTCCATACTTGCCCTTATTTCATCAAACAATTTGTAAGTTGTGATCAATAAATATTTTCAGATGGCAAAAAAAAAAAAAAAAAAAAGAACAGAAGTAAAATACAGAATTCTTCGAAACGTGCGTGTTTATAGGTAACGTAACAACGTGTACGTATGCACGAAAAGGCATATATTAGTTTCATAGTAACCGTTGCAACCCACTTCATTAGAAGTTTCCTTATTCCGCATTGTAAAATCCGACGCATAGAGAAACAAACACAAAAAGTCATTGACTGGATTAAGAGGGTGAAGAGAATGACAAAGATAAACTCGGTATTGGAGAAGAAACTTGAAGAACTCGAGAATCTAATTGAATCACTCACTCTTAATGAAGTTGATCCCAAAGTCTACCGCGATGTCGAACTCCGAGTAATTTTCTTGAAGACCCTTTTAGCCGCAGAGATATCGTCGCGGCCGACAGACATAGAAGGAGAAGAAGTCAGTGAAGAAAGGCTGAAACTTACTTGCATGGCCAAGAGGTTAAAAGAACTCGAAGATGCTTTTAATACCATTCGATTATCCGGTTTGGATAGTAATGATGGTGTTGTCGATGGTGAGAGTAATGATGGTGTTGTCGATGAGAGTTTGGATAGTAATGATGGTGTTGTCGATGTTGAAGCCGGTTCGGTTTCCTCGTGGGTGAATTCTTGTCAGGGCGAACTTGGTGAAGCAGAGGTAGAGAAGGAGGAGAAGAAAGGAGATTTGGACGCTGAGCAGTGGCCATTGTTTCAAGATGCTTCATCGGAGGACAAGAAAGGAGATGAAGACGTTGAGCAGTGGCCATTGTTTCAAGACGCTTCATGGGAGGAGAAGGAAGCAGACAAAGACGCTGAGCAGTGGCCATTGTTTGAAGATGCTTCATCGGCCGAAAAGAAAGAGATTACGTTTCCAGCGGCGGTTAAGGAAGAGGTGGTGGTTAGAGATGTGAAAGAGAAGAGGCGTTTTGGTTCTATGGATTTGGTATGTCTCGGTTTAGTGGGTGTGATTTTAACTTTACTATTAGGGTATATTGGTGATATCTCAGAGGAAGATCCTTTTCTTACCCCTACTTAGGTGATTGCTTCATTTGATTTTCACTCTGATTTTAGTTTCATTCTTTTCAGTTTGCTACTCATATGAATATATTAGATGGCTGTAGTTTTTCAGTTTGTACTCATATGAAAATGGTTCTTATAACATTGTCTCTTTAAATATATATGTATATAGAATAGTTTGTTGGGTTAACAGATATGTTAACAAGAGATAAATAAATAAACACGGATCGCACACACACACACATAACACAGTAAATAGTCTTTGAGAATAAAACATACAACTCTCCTCATAACCCTGTCTTGAACGGCACGCCAGTGGAAGGCAACCATGAACCGCCTGCGATGAGGCTTCCCACAGTAAACCGGGAAGCAACCGCAGTACTGGTTATGGCATGGAATCCTTTCCACCGGACACGCCACCTCGTGGAAGAACCCGGTCCAAAGTTTTTATACTCACCATAGAACACTGTATTGAGAGCAAAATTGGATCCTCTTAACCAAGGAGACCATCCCAAGGGACTGATTGAGTTATCTATATAAGTCTTCATGATAGTAACACGCGAATAGGCTTGCCACGGTCGGCCTAAATAGGTCTTATAAGCTCTAACAACAGGCCTCAAATCAGAAGCCGCGACTATCCTTGAGCTATGGATGGTAATGCCTGTGTTCTGAAAAGGGTCACCGCGACCCTGAGCTGTTATAACGTTAGCTTGACCACGTAGAGGACGTCTGACAAGAATCATACAGTTTTGAAACACAACAGCTGCATTCCCGAATATGAAGTCTATGGTGCCTGAGATGTAACATTCTCTAAAGAACTGACGTTGAGAGTGAATGTATAGCGTGTCTTGGAATCCATGGATACCGACACGGTAGAAAACAGAGAGGTCAGAGGATGATCGAACCGAGACAGCTTGGCCGCGTAATGGCCCTGCCGTATTGATGAATGTCATGTCCTTTGCTACAAATCTTTGGCCTCCGAAGCCTTCAAATTTAATAAGAGTTTACACACAACTTATTTAGTATCATAAGAGGTGTTAAGTAGGATTTGGATAAAGATGTTAAGAAATATATTTACCGGCTGTTGCTGAGTTATAGGTGGTGTAGCCGTTCTTGACGCTTCTCCCGCTGGTTATGATTGTTTTTCTTGCGCCGTCGCCAACTAGCATTATGTTGTGGTTATCGTTGCCGACTTCAATGTTCTCTCTGTAAACACCTTTCTTCACATATATTATAAATCTTGACTTAACTCTCCGTCTTCCTGCGAAGTTTATCGCTGCTTGGATTGACCGGAAATGGCTGAACCTGTCTTGTGACACCACTATATGGGGTCTAGATTTGGCTAAAGAGGCCGATACTAGTAATCGCCTCTCATGTCTTGAGACCCAGCTTGGGAAGTATTCTTCGTGGTTAGCTGGACAAACCAAACAAATTAAAATATGACCGTGTTAGATAACGTCACAATATCATTCAACCGTACCATTTAAAAGGAAAATATATCTTTTGGAGAAAAAAATTAGCAAAGGATGTTAATCAGTACATATGATTAATCGGATTACGTGTGAAATAAGATAACGATAAACGTAGTAACACTTCTATTTTTATACCTTTTGCTGCATCAAAATTTTATTATGAGAAAATTTATAATCCGAAGCAAAAGATTTATTTAAATGCTAAACAAATCAGCATATTCATATATGAGGAATCTAATTAACCACTCAAAGTAATTATAATACTAATAAAACTGAACGTACCAGTTGTATGATTATGTTGCTTCATGAGAACTCCATTGACGGCCAAGCAGTTTCCAATCAAATCTGACAAGTTCTTGTTGGAGATCGCCGGTATGACAAAATCCGAGACGTTAAGATCCTCTGACCCAGACCGGCATGTCTCGATGTTGGTCTGGGCCGTGCTGAGCCACGTCTGTGCGTCGAAGTTCGAACACTTCACATCACTGGAAGCCGCCGGGTTAAGTCCCTTGAGCGTCTGGTTCAGCTGACCCACCGTGTTTTGAAAGAGCTTTACGCAATCTGACCATGCCGCTTTCCGTTGGTTGTTGGTGCAGCTAGGACCAAACTTTACGGTCTGAGTGTGTGTGACAACGGCTTGGTCAAGTGCTACGTGGACCAGCATTCGTAGAAATTCGGACCGGAGCCTTGGTGGTCTGTTAATGTTGTTGTGTGGGCTCCTGTGGAAGTAGTAATTGCATGTCTCAGCGTGTGGAGTCTTGTTGCACCACCATGTCATGTCGCCAGAGATAGAGCCGTTGTTTATAGGAGATGGAGCAGGTGCCTGATCGGGAGATGGCGGTGAGGTGGTTGGGGGACTCGTGGTGGGGGTTGGGGTTGGTGCGGTTTCTGGTGATGGTGCAATATCGTCGTCCCATGGAGAAGGAGCATTTGCTAAGTCACCGTCGTGTACGGCGGAGGAGAATGGTAGAAGAAGAAATGATGCCAAGAGGCAAATGTGGAAGATGCCTCTAAGCATTTTTTGAAGTTCCTGGGTATGAGTTTGTATGGGGAACTGAGAATCATGGTGTGATGTTTTAACTAATTAAAGGGATCTTACTTTGTATATTAAATTAATTCATATTTATTTTTTAAGAATTATAATTATGGAGTTTGTGTGTATGTACTTTGCAAGTGATTATTATTGGGGAGAACATGATGATGTGTGTTGTCTTTGCTTGGGATTGTATACATTTGATCTGATGACTCATATTCTTATTTAGCAACCTATGATTATAAATCATATAATATCAATTCTCTATAGAGATGCCTATAATTGATTCCATATATATATTATAAAAATATTTAGAAGAAAAATGTCAAATGAATAAAGAGGAGGAAAAGTGACTTAAAAGGAACAAGAAGAAGAAAATGTGTTTTTCCAATGTTAAAGTAAACCTACCATGTGCTTTTAGCTCAGTTTCTACTCTTGTAGTTTCAAGCATACGCAAACTCTTACAATAATCTTTGTTTACTTTTTTTCTTATTATATAATTATTATACGTTACTCATTTTATATATGATGTTACGAATGTCTCCGGTGAATATTTAACTCCTAGATTTACTTTTGTTTTGAGTTATTAGGTATGTAAGGTTTTTAAGGATATAATCTTTAATTGTTCATGGAACAACTGATTATAAAATTAATATTTTTCTAATGATTCTCCTTAAGGACTTGCTATTGTGGATGCTCTAAGTTGGGTTTTCAGCTTCAGCTTGATTTTTTCTTTAATTTAATTCTATTTTTTGGTTTTTGTTTATAGAGATATATAAACCATTCGAGTATTTATGAATGTTTCAGTTTTGATTTGTTTTCTTTTGTTTTGTTTCATATAAGAGATGCAAAAAAAAATCAGTTCATATAATAGTATGGAAATTGTTTAATACCTAAAAAATTTAGACCTAATTCAGATCTGACTCAGTTTAGATTTTTCGGATAATTTTGATAAAAATATCGGCTAATACAAGTTGTTTAGATAAATATTGGATACCTATGTTTAAAATATCAGCCAATTCTAATGATTTCATATAATTAAGAAAAAAATTATGTTAATTTGGTTCTTTTCATATAATTTATTTATTTATTGATAATTTTAGATGCTTGGAAACAAGTTTTGTTGTTTATAAATTGTACATGTGATTATTTAAAACAAAATATAAATGATATTTTAAATATATAAACTAGATCTCAACCCGCGCAACCGCGCGGGTATTTGTTTTCATTTATTTTTATATAAATATTTTTTTTACTTCTAAATTGGTATATATTATATAAGGTGTGTATATCGAAAATGATGATTAATTATTATATATAGTATAGATTAATTATTGTTAGTAAATGATGATTTTGTTATTTTTAAAAATAAACTATATAATTTTTAAAGTTAACATCAAAAATATATAAATAATTAACTTATACTATTACAATATTAAATTATATAATTTTAATTTAAACATGTATTTTATTATAATACCTATAAATCCAATAGATCATTTAGTTTTTATTAGCCCAATAAAAATTATAGTAAGCCCAATAAATGTTATTTGTAAATTTAATGAATGTTATTAATGATTGAATAATGTAATGTCATAAATTCTATTAGATGGTCTATTTTAAAATATCACACATGAAATGAAGTCATGACTTCTGTTTTAATATATAAGATTATTTTGTATACCGGGATGTCATTTTATGGTTAGATTTGATTTGGGCAAATCGTCCAGGTATGTTCAACATTATTAAGATAATGTTTTCTTCTCAATGTACCACTTAAAATATCATATAACTTAGTAAATAAGAAAATATTAAGATTAACAAAAAAAAAAATAGGTAGAAAAAAGAACGATGCCAACATAAACGTCGACATTAACACTGTCAGCTAAATCCTAAACCATAACGTAGGCATTAGCTTTCATCGTGACCAACAAGCATCTTCAAGTTTAAGGGTTGAAATTTACATTTTTTCGACAAACTTAGAATTTATTTATGATGAAAATTGTATATCTGAATACAAATTTGGAGTTAACCATGTATGTGGACAAATACATTCTTCATAAAAAGATGGTAATTTTCTCAAATAGTTCATTTTTAGTTTTTTGTCACAAAATTTAAAAGAAAAGGGAAATTGCCAGAAATAACACTTTTAAGATACCACTTTTTAACTTTACACTAACCAACTTTACCATTAAAATTGTAATACTCAAAATACTATTAGAATTTAGAGTTTAGGGTTTTGAGTTTAGGATTGATAGTTTAGGGTTTAGTGTTGATTTTTTAGGGTTTAGGGTTTACGTTTTAGGGTTTAGAGTTTAGGGTTTAAGGTTTAGAATTGATATTTTAGGGTTTATGGTTAATTTTTAGGGTTTAGAGTTTACTTTTTAGGGTTTAGAGTTTAGAATTGATGTTTTAGGGTTTAGGGTTAATATTTTATTTAATATTTATTTTATGTATATATATATATATATAAGGAACAATGATATAAGAGTGTTTTATCCTTTAATAAAATGTGTATTTTTGAAAATGTTCCTTTGTTGATGGTAAACATGAAAAGTGGTATCACCAAAGTGGTATAATTGAAATTCTCCCAAGAAAAAATTGCTAAAAGAAGTTTTATTAAGACAAAATATTTTTGTATAATTTACATTATAAATATATAAATAAATATAAAATAATATAATAATAATTTGTTTTCAATTTTTTATTATTTTTTTCCTATTCTAATTGTCTTTTTGAAATTCGAAAAGGATTTTTGAATTTATACCGCACAATATGAAATATTTATTTTCTGTTTGTAAATATTTTAAATTTCACTCCTAACTCTAAACAAAAGTGTCAAAGTTAGTTAATCCTAAACACCTAAATGTATATTTGTCATTCAATAAAATATTTTTTTGATCATTTTCTGTCTTAAACTTTTTTTTTATAAAAATAAATTAAAAGATGGTATCTTAGAAAATTTTTCTTCCCCTTTTAAAGAAGAACAAAACTTAGGTGAACCCTGAGATGAACCTTTAAATTCACATTTCCTTCTAAAACCAATCAAAATACCACATAGATAATTAATTAAAAAATATTAATTTCATTTAAAATAACTAAAAAATAAGAATAACGCTAATTTTAACGATATTGACGCCGCTAACTAAATCGTAAACCCTAAATTTTAAATTTTAAATCTAAACCTTAAACTCTAAACCCTAACCCTAAACCCAAATCCTAGATCCTAAACCCAAATTGCATATCCTAAATCCAAACCGTATTCCTTAAATTCAAACCCTATACCCTAAACCAAATCCTAAACTCTAGACCCACACTGTATACCCTAAACTCAAATCTTAGATTTAAAATCCAAACCCTAAACCTAGACGCTATTGTATTTGGGTTTAGGGTCTAAGATTTAGGTTTAGATATATGGTTTAGGGTTTATGATTTGGTTTGGGTTTAAAGTCTAGATTTTGGGTTTAGGTTATACATTTTGGGTTTAGAGTATACAATTTGAGTTTAGAGTCTAGAATTTGGATTTATGGTTTGGGTTTAGGGATTAAGGTTTAAGGTTTAAGATTTAAGGTTTATAATTTGAGATTTACTATTTACAGTTTAGTTAGCGGCGTCAATATCGTTAAATTGGCGTTATTCTTATTTTTTAGTTATCTATACTATTAATTAAGAAGTAAATTTGTTGAGGTGTCATGTACTCCATAATTTTAGGTAATTTTACTTCTTTTTTTTTATGTTTTTATAATTTTGACTAATAAGTAATTATCATTCTTAATGTAATTAGATTTATTGATATATATAATTAACCATAAATTAACAAAAAAATTAATATCTAATTAAACTTAATTAAAATAAAGTTCTTTGATTAGATGATTATCATATCTAATAATAGTGTATTGATTAGCGAAATACTAAAAATAAATTATATATATACTATTATTTGAGATATGATTTTGTTTAATTGTCATGTTCTCCATAATCTAAGATAGTTTTGCTTGTTTATCATATTTTTATATTTTGTTACTAATGATTAAAAAATATATAACTAACTATAAATTAAAACGAATTCATATAAAATTAACCTTAATTAAAAATAAAGTTCATTGATTAGATGATTGTCATTATCTAAAAAACAGTTTCTTGATTAGCGATAAACTAAAAACGAATTTATATAATTGGTCATTAATTAAAATATTTTCATTTATTTGAAAATTATCATTATCTAAAATAATTTATATTATGTGATCTGTTAATATATAATTAACCATAAAATGAAAACAATTCATTGATTTGATAATCATCCTTGTATAAAAATAGTTTATGTTGTGTTACTAAAAATAATATTTACTTTATATTTTTTTAATGTTTTAAGCTATAAAAATAAATATCTACATATATTGTATATAATATTAATGCATATATTAAGGTGTTCAAATTTATTTTATGCAATAAAAATAATTTTATTATATTGACAACTTTGGTCATCTGTAAAAAAATGAATATTTAATTTATTATTAAATATTTCAAAAGCATTAGTATTTTTAGTTTATGTTACGTGACAAAAAAATATTTATTTTACGATAAAAAAATTGTATATAAAGATTTCATTGTTTAATTTTTATTAATATTTTAAATATATAAATATTAATTTATTTATTTTATTTCAATTGATTGTGTATTCACTTTAAAATATTTGTAAAATTATTATGTCCGTATGTGCAGGCAAAACACCTAGTTTTTAAATAAATGTAATATTTTTAATTAGTTATCTCTGTGGTATTTTGATTGATTTTAAAAAGAAAGGTGAATGTAAAGTTCAATCTAGGGTGAATGTAAAGTTCAAAGTTTTGTTCTTTAAAGACCGTTTTTAGGAAGAATATGAACAACAGAATTGCATATACGACGTATAAAAAAGAAAAAGAAGTAGATATAAACTTTTGCGACCAATAATATATGTCGTTTAGCAAGTGCATATTAAACTTTTGCGAC